GAGGGTTGGAAGGGACCTCAGGAGGCCATCTAGTCCAACCCCCTGCTCAAAGCAGGACCAATCCCCAACTAAATCATACCAGCCAGGGCTTTGTCAAGCCTGACCTTAAAAACATCTGAGGAAGGAGATTCCACCACCTCCCTAGGTAACCCATTCCAATGCTTCACCACCCTCCTAGTGAAAATTTTTTTTCCTAATATCCAACATAAACCTCCCCCACTGCAACTTGAGACCATTGCTCCTTGTTCTGTCATCTGCTACCACTGAGAACAGTCTAGATCCATCCTCTTTGGAACCCCCTTTCATGTAGTTGAAAGCAGCTATCAAATCCCCCCTCATTCATAGATTCATAGATATTTAGGTCAGAAGGGACCATTATGATCATCTAGTCTGACCACCTGCACAACGCAGGCCACAGAATTTCACCCACCACTCCTGCAAAAAACCTCTCACCTATGTCTGTGCTATTGAAGTCCTCAAATCGTGGTTTAAAGACTTCAAGGAGCAGAGAATCCTCCAACAAGTGACCTGTGTCCCATGCTACGAGGAAGGCGAAAAACCTCCAGGGCCTCTTCCAATCTGCCCTGGAGGAAAATTCCTTCCCGACCCCAAATATGGTGATCAGCCAAACTCTGAGCACATGGGCAAGATTCATCAGCCAGATACTACAGAAAATTCTTTCCTGGGTAACTCAGATCCCACCCCATCTAATATCCCATCACCTATTCACCATGAATATTTAATTACCAAAACCATGTTATCCCATCATACCATCTCCTCCATAAACTTATCGAGTTTAATCTTAAAGCCAGATAGATCTTTTGCCCCCTCTGCTTCCCTTTGAAGGCTATTCCAAAACTTCACTCCTCTGATGGTTAGAAACCTTCATCTAATTTCTAGTCTAAATTTCCTGGTGGCCAGTTTATATCCATTTGTTCTTGTCTCCACATTGGTACTGAGCTTAAAAAATTCCTCTCCCTCTCCGGTATTTATCCATCCCTCTGATATATTTATAGAGAGCATTCTTCTCTTCTGCAGACTAAACAATCCCAGTTCCGTCAGCCTCTCCTCATAAGTCATGTGCTCCAGCCCCCTAATAATTTTTGTTGCCCTCCGCTGGACGCTTTCCAATTTTTTCACATCCTTCTTGTAATGTGGGGCCCAAAACTGGACACAGTACTCCAGATGAGGCCTCACCAATGTCGAATAGAGGGGAATGATCACGTCCCTTGATCTGCTGGCAATGCCCCTACTTATACAGCCCCAAATGCCATTAGTCTTCTTAGCAACAAGGGCACACTGTTGACTCATATCCAGCTTCTCATCCACTGTAACCCTTAGGTCCTTTTCTGCAGAACTGCTGCCTAGCCGCTCGGTCCCTTGTCTCTAGCTGTGCATGGGATTCTTCCGTCCTAAGTGCAGGACTCTGCACTTGTCCTTGCTGAACCTCATCAGATTTCTTTTGGCCCAATCCTTTTGTCTAGGTCCCTCTGTATCCTATACCTACCCTCCAGTGTATCTACCTCTCCTCCCAGTTTAGTGTGGATGAAATAGGATCTATTCCTCTTCTTCCACATCATCTGGTTTTAGGAAGAATGGAGAAGTGCTTTCTTCTCCCTCCCTTTCATTGCCTAGCTTTCCACATCCCATTCCATTAATTTGGTAATTTTTTGCCACCTGTCAAAAACGGGGAAATTGGATTTGACCTAGATTATGATCTCTAAAAATAATTATTCATACTGAACATTCACATCTCTTTGTAATCTGAGTATTCATTAACATCTTGATTAATTCTGATGACAGGATAGCATAAAATACCCATGAGAGATGAGACTTCTTCATTTATCTAAACCCTGTGTTAATTGCAAGTACCTTCAGACACAAGAAAGTACAGTATTTATCATACAACCATCAAACAATTTTGTTTATAATGTAGGATTCTTCCAGCAAAATGATGTTACCAAATCACCTTGTATAACATGTAATAAAGTCCTGTTGAAATTAAGTTTTTGTAAATGAAGAAGTTTATGGGGCTTTTTTTTAAGTTCCCAGATCAATAGACTATATGGCCAGAGTGAAAAGCTTGAAAAATGTTCTAAAACATATGGAAAACAGATCTTCCTGTACTTGCTTACCAAGACCCGAGTTCTGGATTTTGTGTGCAAATTAATGGTATGCCAGTTTCAACAATGCCCTGTTACTTTAATGCTTACTCATATGAGGTGGTGATACTGCAGTGATAAACCCCGTAAAATAAATATGGGTAAATTGGCTCTAAAACACGACAGATAATGTCAGCAAATAATCTATTGTAGGTGCTTGTGATGTCATTAACTAATGTCAGAAAAGCACAGAACCCTGAATTCAGGGTGTAGCAGAGAAGTGCTGGGGGAAATGGATTTCAAATATTAATATTTGGGGGAAAAAACAGTTAATGGTTTTCAAATCAGTGCTCTGTTACTGATTTGGAATTTGAAAGAGTGATTTTAAATTTCTGGGGCTTTTCAGATATCCTTGAAGAGTTCTACCAATACAGTCTGCTTAAAAGGGTCGTTTATATTTTATCTTAAAAACCTTAGCTTCAACTTATTGATTGTTTCATTGTCAGGGGTGAATTGAATTCTCTTGTCATTTCAACCTTCTCTTTTCTCCACCCTCCCCCTTCTTTTTATTAGAGAAATGGCTAATACTGTTAAAGACTTCCTGCTGTTCCCAGTGGGCCATCTGTTCTCCTCTGCCCTTCCATGGCATTTCTGGAAGCAATGCACATCAGACAAGAGTCACTGGGCCATACTCTGCCCTCACGTACACTGGTGTAGATGCACTGGGGTTGCTTTATATTGACACTGATGTAATCAGAAGCAGAGCTTTGCCTGACATTTTCATTTTCATGCTCATTCAGCACAATGGAGGCTAGATCACCTAGCAGGAGCAGTATCAAGGTCATAGTCTTCTACAGTTTATAGTGTCAGGGTAGAAACTTCCCTCTCAAATTCACTAGGTGCATCTGACTCACTGCGCCACTACCTAACCACCCTTTTTGGAGTGAAAACCTAAAGTCTGCCCTGGCCACTGACAGCCTTCCATTTGAACGGCCAACTGGCAGTTTTCTAGGTAGCTCCACACACATGCCTATATCTGGATTAGACTGAAAGCAAGGTTCCACCTTGATCAAGAGGGATAGAACTTGGTGCTTTTTTCAGCTAAAATAATGAGAACCTATTTCTGTCTAGCTGAAATTCTGCTTTCAAGATGCATCCTGTTTCTTTCGCTCGTCCCTGACAACGTATTCTACGTTGCTGATCATCCGATGGTTGGCAGAGATGGTACCATTCATTTGGCACGCTTTTTCTTCACAGCTTCATGCCAAAGATCCCAGATGTGCACTGCATTTATTCTGCTAGTGGAGCCCAGAGTTGCCTGATTGCATATGAACATGAACACTAGCAGTCTACTTAGAGGACCTGCAGCTACTCCTTGTCCTGTATATCCAAAAGAGTGACCTAGTAAATGAGAGTATAATTATCACGATATTTACATCAAATCCCAGTACGAAGCCCCATCAGTCAGATTTGCACATCCATAGTATTGCTGCTTATTGGAGTCCATCTTTCATAATTGCAAAAATATACCGAATTATGTTACACTGTGAGATATTTTGGATGGCAAAAAAGTACCAGTATGCACAGCCTGGACATTAGGCAGGGATCCTGCTTGTAGGGGCAGATCCTCCGATGGTGCAAATCAGCCGAGCTCCATTGAAGTCCATGGGATACCAATTTACATGAGCCGCTAATCCAGCCCATTCCATTTGCTCACATGTATTATAGTGCTCTCACTGGTCTGTGGGATTCTTACAGAGTTTATACATTTTTTTCAAGCTCAGTGTTTCTTTGGTCGTCTCAGATCTTCTCTAATCAGCCACTTTGAGCCTCTCTGATTCCCCTATTGACTACTCTGGGCTTCTCTGGCCTCCAGTTTTTCAACTCGTCAGGTATTCTGATCTCCCCCTGCCTGCTCTGTTCTTTTTCTGTTGTGCCTGGTCTCTTACTATTCATATCTACTCATTAAAAATTCTGCTCTAACAAAGAGAGACGAGGCGGTTTTGGCTACTAAGGTGTTATGAGTCTATACGCTGCCTCCAGTTAATGTGAAGTTTGCTTTGTATAGACAAATGTAAACAGCTTTCCTGTAATCTAATGTCATCACATAGCACTGCAAATAGTGCAACACCATGAAGGAGGGGTGGGGGGCAGGTTGCATACACGTAGTGACTGAGATTTATAATTCTGCAGAGACTAGGAATAAAAACATAAATGCACTTTCATTCCAATGTGCCTTTATTGCCTTGATTTAAGGCTGGAACAGGCTGAAGTGACCTTAAATCATCCTGGGCTTATACCATTAAAAAGTCACATGTGCAATGTTCATCTTCGCACATTTTAGTAGCTCTCCAAATAGGCAATCACTGGGGACCTTCAACTTTGTGAGAGCCCGAGATTAGGAGGATATCAAATGGAAATGCTCTTTTAAGCTGCAGGATAAGTCAAAATATCTGAACACTAAGAGCAAACAATTTGCTAAATCCCCTTTCATCCAGCCTTTGCACTGGATGGCTAATTCCTTTGTTTAGCGCTGTGGTGTTTTATCTCCAGGTGGGAGAGCAGTGCCTTCTTGAGCCAATATTCCTGCTGCCTGCAGATCAGACAGCAGTGGCTGCTCTGTTATGAGCATGGCAGCTGGTACGTTTTTTCCTTTCCCAGCAAGAGACTGAGCATTTCATCGTTTTTAACACAATTCACCAGCTGGGACCAAGTCTCCTAGTAAGCAGTCAAATACCTTCTCTTCTCCCCCCTGCCCCCCCCGACCCCCACACCCACACCAGCCCGAACACCAACACCGTAGCAACCACGTAAGGCTGCCCTACTCCAAAGTGCTCTCAAAACACATTAACTGGTATTAAGTTGTAACATGCTGTTATGGGCTTTTTCTATCCATAGCCTCAAGTCCTTCGCCAGAAAGACAAGATGCAGCTCGGCCGTCAAGCAAGAACCCTTCGACCTGGACTGTCGATGATGTGGTTTGGTTTGTGAAGGATGCAGATCCTCACGCGTTAGGTCCGCACGTGGAGCTTTTCAGAAAACATGTACGTAGGAGGCGGTCCATGGTGTAACCCAGCTATTTGGGCTGAGTTTACAGGTCATTGACTTTACCAAGTGAGAGTCTTATCTTGTGAGGCAAGGAGCAGGGAATTGCTTGCACTCAGCGGTTTACAAGACACAGCTGATGTTAACATCCAAGTGTTGGAGTTTAACTCTACATTAAAAGAACTTCTAGGTCCAGCCAGGTGATTCGTGTCAGCAGAGGCTGAGAGTAATGTGTGGAGGAATTGCTCTCTCAACCCCTGGAGGGAAGCAATGCCTTATGTCATTCTATAGCTAATCCCCTGGGCTGGGTGCTTAAGGCCATATCTTAATTAGCTCCAGCACTGTGTTTAAATGAAGTCCAGGCCAGTAAGGAGCTAACTTAGTTTCCTTGACCATTACAAACACCGTATGGCTTTCCTATAAACCGTTTGACAAAAGCATGGTATAAACCAGCAATGTAGACAACATAGTTTAGCCATCTGCAGTTGAACAAAAGTTGCCTTGCTGGAAGGTTTTGAGACTGGGGCGGGGAGATGTAAATCAGGGGAAGCAGGTGTGAATGTGAGGGAGGATCCCAGAAACATGTGCAGACTTTCCCTGCTATTCCTCGCCCTGTCCCAGAAAGAAGAACGTTTGGGAAGTGACAAGTCTGCCTAGTACAAAAGCATCAGGGCAGTTTTTGTTTTGTTATTGCATATGTGGCAGATTCTGACATTATATTGTCTTATACAGCATGGAGCCTGGTGCGCTGACACAACAGCCTCTAGGTGAGCTATGCTGTAGGATTTTATGTGGTGCCATAGTCCTACAGTATTTGTGACAAAAGAGAACCAGTTAAATGGGCACTAAAATTTGCCACATCTTCCATTGTGAAGTACCCAGCACCTGTTGTATATACTTAGAGTCAGTTTCACTGTAAAATATGCAATAGGTCTGAGAGCTTGGGTGAGGCTACTGCACAACTCAATTCAATTAGGCCTTTGAAATATATATATCCCTGCAATTTTTCAACCTTCAAATCTAAGCTGGATTAGCATGGAGACCCCAGAGGGGAGAGGCAAGTGATTAGTCCATTAACCTTAGCCATATCTTCCTGTGTGTTAAATCTTTCTATGAAGCGTAATTTACTTTGAAGCACTTAATGTCATTGACAGGCCCAACAAGCATCTGAAATCATTGCTTTAGCAATCAACTAATCTTAGCCGTGACACCACCGTTGTAGCAGGGTGGTACAATGAAGAGAAAGTGGGAAAAGGAAAAGCAAATGAGGACAGTGCTATCTCTTGCCCTGTTATATTTAAAGTGACCATCAGGGATTGGGGATTGACTTATACTTACTGTGCCAAATTCACCTAAACAGCTGTAGGGAGAGATAATCCACCTTAGCCAGTCTATTCCCCTATCTCCACAACAGGGAAGGCAGTGAGTGGTACCATCACAGCCCTCCCTTGTGTTTTTCCCATGTAGGAAGGCAGCTCTTGCTTGTGGCCAAGATTCTGCAGTAACTCTGTCAAAAGTGGCTTCTGGGGGTGTGCACTGGATCCGCGAATCCCCCAACCTCCTAGGCTGTTTTCTGCGCTGCAGCCTCTCCCAGGGAGAGTTTCTGCATCTGGAGCCACTGCAACAGGGTCCAGGCTCAGAGGAGTCTAGCCCATAATTGATAGGGTCACTGAAGGGCGCAGAACTGGTGTGAGACCATCAGCTGTACACCTCTCTTGCAGTAGCATTTCTGGCAATGAGTGTGTGTGGTTTTGCAATGACCTCTCAGCAAGAAGAAAGCAGCAAAAGTGATACCCAGCCGTGGGAGAAGGGAAGGAGAGAGAGAGAGAGAGTTTGCAGAGTATAGTACATGACGGAGGAATACATGGAGAATTAACAAGTAGCAAAATCAAACTAAAAGGGAGCAAAGCAATGCAACGCTCTGATAGTTTAATTATGGTCAGTAATTGGCAAATGCATATGTGAAGGAGACTAAAATCTTTATGTTTAAGGTAATTAAACCTGTTCATTCAGAATTATAACCTGCCTCTTCCAGTGATGGATATTGTAATTGTGAGCACATATAGTTTTCTCGACCTTCTTCATATTGATTATTTTAGCTTTGTTCCAGTTAGCTTACCACTCGACAGTATTGCTTGGAGAGGGTGACCTTACTGAGAGGGGAAGCCTACATTTCCAGCCTCTGAAGTGGGACCAAGAAGTGGGAGGCGCAGTCTCATTTTGCTGTTTTAATCCTTTTATTCACTAGCAGCCTGATCCTGCAAACACTTATTACTGAGTATAGCTCTAGCTACTCCGAATAGTTCTAGTGAATCAACCCCACAGGGTTAGTGCCCCTTTAGGGATTACTCACCATGCTGAGAAATATGCTCGGGAATAAGTGTTTGCAGAAACAAGCCTTAATGCTTTCCTATTGCAGCTGGAAGCTGCTCGCTATCTCCAAATGCTACTGCAGTCTTGCAGGCTGTACTTGAGAAACCTGTGTCACTTCTTGCTCCCAATCCCTTATAGAAACACTCCAGTAGTCTACAATACTGGTCCAAATTACTGTGGGCCAGACCTCAACTAGTGTAAGTAAACCTGACTCCCTTGGCTTCAGTGAGTTACACCAGCTAAGGATCTGGTCCTGCATCTTCTAATAGTGCTATTGCAGAGTTTTAGATCATTACTGACATAGTATTAATAAAGAGAAATCAAGCAAACATACTTTTTCATCAGAGGGACATAGCTATTGCAGGATATTTAATTAAATATGAATGCTCCCTCTGGCACACTCTTGTCATGTAATTTAATTCTAACCCTTACATACTAATAATGTTAAAGGGAAAAAAACATTTTGAAAAAGCCGGATTCACTCTAATCACTCGATAGTATTTTATTTTATTTCATTCTAAACTCCAGAAGTTTGTTTTTCTTTATGCTATGCACATGTTGGTTGTATCCATATTTGAATGCAACATTGATTCTTCCTTTATCTTACCTTCCGAAAATGATAGGAAGAAGCGATAAGGAGAAAGTGGTTTCCAATGTGGTGTGTGGGGGCAAGAGGAGTGGAAATTGACCATCAACTGCTGATTGAGTGAATCATAAAGTGATCTTACTGTGGATCAGCACTAAGCACAATAATGGTCCGTGCACATTAAGCTTGATAGTAATGCTTCATTAGTATAACTTGGATCACACAGACAAGCTCTGACCATCAAACAGAAATGATGAAATGTATGGAAGTCATGCTAATACTTAGCACTGATATGGCACGTTTTAACATCAAGGTGCTTTGAAATTTAAAATTGACAAAATTTCTGCCAGCTCTACTCTGAATGAAGCCATTTGAAGATGGAAGCTGGAAGATGTCTTAGCTGCAATGGAATGCTTGCTCTCTTACTTTTTCAGCACTGGTCACAGGTTATACATCTTGATTTTTCTCTCTCTTTTTTTAAAACAGGAGATTGATGGCAATGCTTTATTGTTACTGAAAAGTGACATGATCATGAAATACTTGGGGCTGAAATTAGGACCAGCATTGAAACTTTGTTACCACATCGATAAACTCAAGCAAGCAAAGTTCTGACATTTCCTTCAACAGTGGCCCAACATAATCCGAGATAGCAGACAAAAGGTAACATGTTGCCTTATAGAAATACATCAACTTGTGAATTGTTTTTCCCTCTTTTTTAACAAAGACTTTCTTTTTTAATACTTGTGCATCTTCACCTTTTTTTAATCCAATGGGGTCTTTTAGCTGTTCTGTGTTAATAATTTTCCAAAAAGTATATAATTACAATAATTATTTTATATCATTAATATTGTTATTATGATTATAGTAAGTCCTATTTTTGTAATCAGAAGTGGGAAATCGGAAACAAATACAGCTTTGACACATGCTGAGGACTGATGAGGGACTATAGAAGAGTCACTCATTAGCCACCTGTCAGCCTCTGGGGCATAATTAGTAATTTGCCAACATCTGGGGTGTGGTTATAATGCAGACCCAAGAACAACAGCATTATGAGATAAAAGGCCTGGAAAAGGTCAGATTAATGCCCTTTGTTTGGTCAGCTATTGTTGTCTTATGGGCACTACCCCCATGTCTTGCACTATCTGGAAAACTTGAAATTCTTTAGTTTAAAAAAAAAAATTCTGAAGACTGAAGTACCTTGTTTTCCCACTAGAGGGACAAATCCTAATAAACTCCAGGCTTCAGCTGCTGATGACATGGTGGCTTTCTAGAGGGTGTGATTGAGCCACCTTGATTTTACATCTAGTATACACACAAATTAGGAACTGCAGCTCCTAGCATGATCGACCCTTCACTGCTCACCGACAACTAGTTCACCGTTTAGAAAAACCAAAACGCAGAAAGCGTTCCTGATAGGATGCCACAACACACTGCATCTCGTTAAGTCAAAAAGTGGTTGGATAGCTCCCAGAGCATCTGGCATTCTCAGCAGTCTGCCTCCTTCCTTGAGCCATGCCTGTATGCCATATATTTTGTGGCACTCTTTAAAAAAGCAAAAGAGTACAGTGGAAATGTTCTCCAAAAAGAAGTTGAAAATACAACGCACACTGTACATTTGCAACTGTGTTGGATCTAAAAGGTAGATTTTCTAGATTAATTTCCTTACTGAAGCTGCCATTGTGGGTAATCTTGTTAACGTTCAGCACATATGCAGAGGTGTTGAGCATTAGGATTTAAGTGGATTCAAAATGTCCTTCTGCACCATAAAAGAACCAAAAAAAAAAAAAAAAGACGAATGTCCACATCCTATACAGCCATGCCAGGACAAGTATATTTTTAAAAAAATAATAGATTACTTATGGGTTGGATATGCTCTTATTTTCTTCTTTAAAAATGAGATTTATCAAAAGGATACCTCTACCCGTTCAGCTTAAACAGCATTCTCTTTAAATGAGTGTCCAGATTTTTTAGCAACTCTTTGAGATATTAGGGCTGTGTGATAGCCAGACTCAACCTGTCTCAGAGAATGGATTCCTGAACCTCTACATGGCAGTGATCAGATGGTACCATCCAATTCTGTTCATGTAGAATAAAATGTTACCAAAAATGTCATGCAGAACAAAACTCATTTTTATGTGCAACATTAGAATAAACCTGCTACAAAAAAGATACAAATTCAGGGCCTGAACCTGAAAACACATATGAATTTGAATAACTTTAATCCCATGAGTAGTTTAATAGAACTCACTGGGGTTATTCACATGAGTAAAAGTTACTTATGCCCTTATATGTTTGCAGCATTGGCTCCGCAAATGACTGACCAGTTTTCAACAAGTTCTGTATGCACACTGAAATGCCTTTGAAATGAACACCTGAATAAATGTGTTAAATGAAATTCCTATAATACTAAGTATAAAATATACTAATATCTAAACATAATATCTAAACATGGACGATTAGAACTTTAAACTGAGCTGCATTGCTTTATGTCCGTGTTGCACAGAATGAAAATCTGCTCAGCCAGATGTGTGCTAGGGACATAAATGTGTTCACACCAACAAGACGGTTATACAGTTAATTGTTCACTGTTGCATTTTCAAAAGTTAAGTCTTTTACTTACAATAATGCTACTTATTTGACCTGCTTTTAAAGTCAGCCCAAAAGAGTGTAAAGACCTTGATATATCTGTAATGTCATACTCAGCAAATCCTAGGACAATCTAGTTTTCTTACATGTTCTGCAATGTAGCCCATCTTTCTTATTTTTAAAAAAATTTCTGATTTTAGTTCCTTCCATCCAAAAACTCACTTCACTGTAACATAGCTAACTCCAAAAGAGAGCAGGTCAAACATTTTCCAGTGGGATGTTTTTTCCATTGCAAAATGCTGTTTCCTCAAAATCTAAACTTTCCAAGGGAACCTGCTGATTTTGAGAAAATTTTGTTTTGGAAACCTCCCTGAAACAAACATTTCACTATTATTGAAACACTTCTCTTTTGACATTCTTGGGAGGAATATTTTGGGGTTTTTGTTTTCAAAACAACGTTGTCATTTGAAAATGTTTTTGATTGTATATTATGTAGAAAGTCAAATTTGAATGAAATGTTTCAATTGACCCAAACCATTTTTTAAAAAAATTCATTTTGTATAAAATATCTAAATTCAGTGTTTTGCTCTGATTTGGAAGAAACCCAAATTTCAAATTCTGGAGTTTCCCACAGAACAGAAGTTCTGGTTCCTCACAGCTCTACTCCTAACATACTTTCTTTCCTCTCTCTGCCCCTCTTTTAGCCATTAAAACTGAATAGTAATCAGAAGGCAGAGACAATACTAACAACATATATAAATTAGTTAGCAACAATGATATTTTTACATCCAATGTGCTGGAAGAATTTTCATACACCATTGTATGAAACTTGTATATACAGTCAGTGGTGCTATTTTTTTTATATTAAACTTTTAAATATGACAGACTGTTGAAGTCAGGATGTTTTAATGTTTTGTCCTTGGTGTTTTGTTTTCATTGATTGTATTGCATAGAAGTACAATATATAGCAAAAAAAAAACCCTCCTTTTTGGGTGTTTTGAAATTAAAGGCAATTAGGGGGCAAGCATTATTGAAGCAATATTGCGATTATAACTAACTTTCCCCCTCACAAGTCTTGTCAAAGATGGTAGTTAAATAGCTCTGCAGTGTAAAACCGGTCAGGCCACTTCCTCTGAACAAGCACTAAAGAGTCAGAACATACATGTCATTCATTTCCAAATTAGATGCATTTTTAAACATAGTTGGTACAAATTACTTTGCTTCTTGTTCCGTTCATGGCTTTCACTTCAGACTGTAGCCAATCAAGTTCTACTTTTGAACCATCCTGAGAGGTGTGTGTGTATGTATGTATCCTCAAAAGCAACTATGTGGGTCTGTTTTCTACTTTAAAAGAATCATAGCTGGATCAAAAGACATTTGCTACAAGCAATTTCAACATTTTATGAGTATTCCCTTTTGTTTACAAATGTAGGCATAGTCTAAGAATTTGGGGGAAAGTTGTGAGTGAGTTCTTTAGCTACTGTAGCTAAAACAGCCTATCCCCCAAATATACCTGCTGCTGACCTTTTTTTAAAATGGCCGACCAATTCGACCTATTCTGTTCATACAGCTCATTCATTTTTCCTTCTCACTGACCACTGCTGCTGTCATGGCATCTTCTCCCTCACTGACAAATGTGTCCCTCCAGAGCAAGGGCTGGATTAGCTCCATAAATTGCCCCCTGGCAATCCAGTGCTGTCAGCCTCCACTTGGGCTGAGCCTACTTTTGAACCTGGGCCCCTCTTGTGTGGCAGCAAGGGGAGCTGCTGCTTCTGCAGAACAATCAGTCTTGCTCAGCATGATCAATGCATAAAGGTACCCTTGAAACAGGCTGTGGCAAAAGCATTGCTGAGAGCCATATACTGCCCCCAAACCATACACTGAATTCCCATGGGAGTGAGCTGTCTTAAAAAGATGCTGTCTTTTTTTTTTTTTTTTAAAAGGGGGGGAACGACATGGGGGGGGGGAAACAAATAGAACATTAGTAAAAGATTGGGGAAAATACTGACTGGACTTTTGTCTTAGAAAGATTGTTTGCAGTAACAAACGCAATAGCCTAGCTCAGTTAGCACCATTACCAAATGGGAGGTTGAAAATGGCTTAAGAAATGGGCTTTAGATTGAAAGGTTTGAGTGCTAGGGCCTGATTCTCATTGGTGTAAGCACTCCTTTAAAGCTCTCTGGCCTAACCTGCTATAAGCCCCCTTTGTTCTGCTAGAACAATGTAAATTGGCCTGGTTGTAAATGAGAATTGCTTCCCCCACCCTCGCCCCGTAACCATGCTTGTATCTTTAGTTTTTCTGATCTGAAAGACAGAGATGTACCTGCCAGTGGTCGAGCAGCAATATTTGCATTGAAGTAGGAGGGGGGATGTCATTTCCCTCTCTAGACTGAGATACACAATCCCTGTCGTGGGGGAAGGTTGAGCCTTAGCTCACAAAGATATGTCCGGAGAGGAATTTGATTTGGCCTTTGGAATGCTCCTGCTCAGCTGCAAGGGGGGAGCAGTGAGTGGAGAGGCAGTGAGGTTAACTGCAGAGCAAGTGCCCCAGTGACCCCCAGTAGGTGGTGGAGCTACTGCAGGTCATCCCTGCAGCCCAGCTGGTTGTGTGAGGATTCAGCTGGGTTGCCAAATGGGTGAGAGGGATATCAGAGGTGTGAGTGCAAGCCGAATGGGTGACACCCGACAGCCCTGTTCTCTGCTCACACTACTTCTGATCAAGAGCCCACTGATGTCATTAGAAAAGAGTCCCATTGGCTTCAATGGGCTTTCCTCCAGCCCTAAATCATAAGGTGCCACAAGTACTCCTTTTCTTTATTCAAGTCAATAGTTATACTGGTGTGAAACTAGTGGAACAGAGAGGAGACTCATGCCTCTAGTGTTCCAGTCCAGAGGATTACTGTGTATTATTTGTAAGCCACAGTGAAATGTTCAGTTCTGTACACTGAGTCTGTTTCTACACATGGGGTTTTCTCCCCTTTGGAGTTAGTTATAAGAATGCTCTGTTGGCACATGCTTCTTCTGTATCGAAGGACTTGGGACTATTAGAAAAATAACTCACAATAAGCCCTTTGAGGGAAATGTGGAGGAGAATTGTGTCCTTTTCCAAAAGCAAACCTTAGTGCAAGGGTTCTAGAATGCAGCACACGAACACAAAAGTGTCACACTCTTTATAATATTGCAGTAGCTCAAACAGGGTTGCAGAAATGGGAAAATCCATACCCACAATATATGGTTCTAAATCTGTACAGCTCTGCCGGAAAATGCCAGCAAATCACAGCCACACTACCTTCGAGTGCTTGCAATAGCTACATGCTGCTTCCTAATCCACACTCCCTTCCTGGACAATTGGAAACGGTTTCTTTTGGAAATCTAAAATTGTACTTGAAAAAGAATCACTTTTATTCATTGCCCCGAGTTCAATATTATGGAAACATGTCTGCTAACCATTTGCTTTGTGTAATTTGTACTAATGCTAATAAGAAACAGCTGCGATGCTTCCTGTTGTAAATTCTTTTGTGGTGGCAGTGGCATTATGGCATACACTTCCCCAATGTGATGGACTCTAGTAAGACAGAGCTCTTATTCTGACACTGTGCAGCTTGAGCAAATGCCATCAACTCAAAGTAGAGCTATGCAAACCTTAATTGAGAGGATGTCTCTCTTTGTTCCCAGTCTCTGAACTACCAGGTGCCTGGCTCTGAACTGTTGGGTGAGTTCACATGATGCATTGGAGATAAGTCACTGCGTGCGTAGTGTTTTCAGCACTACTGGATTCAGCATAAGTGTAAGTGGCAGGTTAGGTTACTTGCAGTTTAAGCAACGGGCTTTCAGTCTGAGGTTAAGCAGTAGAGGAAGGCAGTTTATTTTTAAAAGAAATGTTCTAGTAAAATATGTTGGCACTTTAAGACTCAGACTGAAACACAGACGGCTTTTCTCAGCGGCAGTCCCAAGTAAAATGTTTCCCTTATCCATGGCTAAATAAAGAATCTTGATCCTACTGAGGCCAATGTAAGTTTTACTATTGACTTCAGTGGGACCAGAGCTTGGCCCAGAAAGGAGGGCGAGCTTCAGCCAAGTTCTAAAGTAAGCAGAACCTAACAAGGCCTATTTCATCCTCCCTTGATCTACTAAGAAATAACAAAAGCTCACCAACCTACTCCAGTCCCTCTCCCATACAACTCCTTCCCTGCTGGTTTATATACTTATCTGCTGCCCAGGGAATCATTTCCTGTTGCTAATGAAGCCTATTAGTATTCCAATAGGGAGCTTTGCTAATACACCCATTTTTGTCAGCGAAGTGCAGGTTGGGTGGCAGTGTGAGAGGGGGAGGTGTTAACTCCCTGCCTACCAGAATCTGTGTAGGATCCTTTCAGCCGCGTGCCAGAAGAAAACATTCCATAAGGCTGTTACATACACATGGATGTTTGATGAGTTCTCAGTTTTGAAAGGCAAATTAAATTAATAGAATATCAGGGTTGGAAGGAACCTCAGGAGGTCATCTAGTCCAACCCCCTGTTCAAAGCAGGGCCAATCCCCAATCTTTGCCCCAGATCCCTAAGTGGCCCCCTCAAGGATTGACCTCACAACCCTGGGTTTAGCAGGCCAATGCTCAAACCACTGAGCTATCCCACCCCCCTAATTCTACATACAGAGCTTCTAAATACTGAACCAAGCAAAATCTCCCATTGATTTATACATGACTCCACTGAGAGTTTTCCCAGCATAAGCACTTTGGGATCAGACCCCTAGTGAAATTTAAAAACTGTTTAAAACCAATCTAAGTGGCCCATTACGTTTAGCCACTTTAATAGTAATGGCACTTGATAGTGCTTCAAATGCATCAGTCTCTTGGATGGTGTCATACTAAAATAATAAGGCCAGATAGGACAATAGGAAAGAGTCCACCTGCTACTGAAGTCTTTTTCTTTGGTTTCTGGAGAGCTGCCAAGAACAGTGCTTGAGACTGGGCAGGAGAAGGATGATGGGCATGTGTGTGGCTTAGCTAGGCTGGCCTGGTTTTGTAGGCAGGCAGTGAAGTGAGTAAAATAAAAGCAGGGCTCACAAGCTGAGAAGAGCAGGTTTCAAAGAGGAGGAAGTCCTGTGTTTTCCTGGTGTCCCCTTGTCATCTGTGGCCTACTTCCAGACTTGTATAGAATCTTTCCTGAACATATCCATGTTTCTTTATAGCCCATTGTTATTGTTAAGGGCAGAGATCATGGTGCCCCTCTCTTTTAAAGATAAAAATACTGGCCACCAGTTCCCGATTATAAGTACTTTATAAAAGAACAGGAATCAGTAAAGGGCTGCAGACAAAGGAAAATAATAGTAAGGACATTTTAGAATGTAATTGCTATGCAACTGTCACTGTCTTTGCACTCAGAAGTAAGGCAGGGTGAGAGAGAGAACTTCTGAACTTGGGTGAATCTAAACCAGCAAAAGATTGATGTTTAATTGTATTCCTTACTTTGATGGTTGCCTGAGCCGTAATGTGTTTTCTGACTATGCATATTTGCTGCAATGGCAGTACTGAGAATTGATCAACACACCTGAGTTTCAGAGGAATAAAATGACTATCTGTCAAATCTAATCTCTCCTCTCCATGGCATTTCTAACGTGCTGTAGTACTTCGGAGTGTCCTTACCAACTTGATCCCATTTTGTGTTGTACTTAAGGAAGAAGCGCTCTTCTTTTCTTATGGCACAGTAATGCAAAAAGTTCAAAGAGCAGATGCTGCCGGATGCTGTAGGCCAGATTCTCAGCTGGTATACATTGGCATCACTCCATTCACTTCATTGGAATTACACTAATTTACACCAGCTGAGGTTCTGGCCCTGTACATTATATGTACAGTAGAACCTCAGAGTTATGAACACGTTGGGAATAGAGGTTGTTCATCTGAAATATCCATAACTCTGAACAAAACATTATGGTTGTTCTTTCAAAAGTTTACAGCTGAACACTGACTTCATCCAGCTTTACTGTGCAGAAGGAAAATGCTGCCTTTAACCATCTTAATTTAAATGAAACAAGCACAGAAACAATTTCCTTATCTTGTCAAATCTTTTTTTAACTTTCCCTTTATTTTTTTAGTAGTTTACATTTAACACAATGCTGTGCTGTATCTGCCTTTTCTTTCTTTTCTTTTCTTTTCTTTTCTTTTCTTTTCTTTTCTTTTCGTCTCTTCTGCTGCTTGATTGTGTACTTCCAGTTCCAAATGAGGTGTGTGTGGCTGACTGGTCAATTTGTAACTCTATGGTTCTACTGTAAAATATGACTGGCAGAAGTTAGGAATCTAGAGTCTGTGAGGGGGAACCTGTGTGCATTTTTTACACCACAGAGCAGAAAATCAAGATCCAAACCATTAGTCCACTATTCCTCTATCTCACACAACCCACTGCCTGATTCATCTATGCACTTTGCAATCCTAGAAGTGAAGGGCAGAAAAGAGCTATTGGCTCATCCAGTCTGTGTCCCCATAAGAAGCCAGTCCAGATTCCAATCTTTCAGTTCCACTGCTGTAAATTCAGTGGAGTTACTCCACATTTACACCAGTGTAACTGAGAGCAGAAGCTGACCCTCCATCCCTTGGTGCTAATGAGGTTCAAACCCAAGATCTCTTGTTTACATTTGTTCACAAAATGGCATCCTCCATGCACATTCGAGGGCTGGACAGAATTGTCCCATGGATGTAGCTGGTCAGGAGGTCATAGTCATGGCTTTCATAGCGTACAATGCATGGGTTGCCTACATAGACGGCACATCACTGATTCAGGGTGCTAGTGGTGTGAGAGGGAGAGCGAGAAGTCAAGAGGAGAGATTGTGTTCAATAGCACATAAAGTATCCTGTAAATATCAAGCTTGTTACTTTCATTACAATATTTGCATGGTCCTCATTTCATCCTGAAA